CAGGGAATCCCCCCTTCCCAGCAGCTGCCGCCCTCAGCCTGCCCGGCCCCGAGCGCGACTCACGACCCCGCCACCTCTTCGCCCGGCCCCGCAATATGGAGGCGGCGGCGGCGCCGCAGCCCCCTGCTCCAGCCCAGCCAGGCACAAGCCCCGCCCCCTCACTCACTCGCGGCCAATAGCAGCGCCCAGACCCCTCCAGACGCGAAACGAGCGCCAGCCAATCACCGCTCACCGGCGGGCCCGTCGCCTCGGCAGCACCGTTGCGATAGGCTGAGCGCTCCGGACGGGGCGGGACTAGCGGGGTTAAGGCGCAGGAGCCGCTCAGCGTGGTACGGCCCGGATTCTTCTCCCTCTACATTTCTGGGACATGGCTTAGGCCAATTTCTCTGAGTGGTGCGGGTTCGAGTCCTGTCCCTGGCTAAGAAGTGCAATGAGTTGGGGGTGGACTCAGCCTGGAACCTAGGGGACTGGATAATGGCAGGGGGACTCTGAGGGCAGTGGCAGACCTGGGGGGAGGGGGCGGAGATATTGGGGTGTGTGGATTGGGATTGCAGGGCAGTGGCAGAATTGTCCTGGGCGATAAACCCAGGGTGGGGATAGCAGGGGGCTGCGGGTTGGGATGGAGGGGCATTGGCAGGACAGGAGAATGCAAAGGGCATTGGTGGAGCTGGGGGACTTCAAGAATAATAGAGGGTTTAGGAATGAGAAGCAAAGGCAAATATTGCACGTGCTTATTTCATGCATTACAATTAATATGTACTGAACAGCTGCTGAGTTTTCACATCAAAGGGGCTGGAAAAGCTAAACCAGTAGCAAGTTTATTAAAATAACTTCGTACAAACATGTGACAAAATCCTTCCAGTCGGACCCACCAATTTTGTGGATGAATCAATTAAGTCTTAACATAACCCTGGAGCAAGTTGAGTCTTTGAAGCTAACAGAGGAGAACTCTGGCTTTGTGCATAACTACCCCAGCTGGTCCTCTCCAGCTGATCTGGTGCTGGAAGCGCTTTTCCGGGTGGATCTAGAACTCAAATGAGAAAAGTGGGACTTTGGCTAAAGTGCTCCCACACTCCATCCAGATTCTACAGACAGAATTGTCCATCCACACAGTCCTCAGCATGCAGACAGGGAGCCCGGCCTCCCCACCACTATGGGAGGCTAGCTGCTGCCCTACAATTTGGGTGGCAGTTTCTTTCCCAGGAACCCTCAGCACTGACAGATTCAAGCTGTGGTGGGGTGCTTGTTTTCATAGGGTGGATTTCCAATGGCGGCCCGCATTGCTGTTATGGGAAGTGGAGTAGAGCCCTGCTGCAATGAAAACTCAGTCCAATGTCTGCTGGAAATGGGGTCAGGCTTGTTTACATTAGTAATCAGTTTTCAGCCTCGACTGGAGGGGCATATGATTAACGCCATCTATATTATTTTCCTAGAGAAAATACAATTAATATGCGTTGGAAATTCCTACCTATTCTTACCTATGAGCCCAAGCCATGGACTATGACCCCACTGTGCAAGGCACAGTACAAACACAGAGCAAAAAGACACTCCTTGGCCCAAAGCGTTTACATTCAGTCATGTGCTCACATTAGCAGATCATAGTTTCCCTCCACTTTCAACCTCTCTCTAGTTTTCAATCCTTTACAATAAGTTTCTCTCCCTGCAGAATTGGTTCCCCATTATTTTGGGCCGTATTCTTCCCAGAAAAATGGGCTTGCGCCTCTCTCATCCAGCTGCCAGCAGAGGATTAGCACATATTATTTCGCTTACACACTGCCCGAGCCCTATTCCCAGCTGCTTCGGGGAAGTCATTTTGTGTTCCTAACGGTAGAACATCTTGAACTTTTCAATCAGTGGCACCAATTCAGATATTTCCTGGAGGCAACACTCCACCATATTGATTTAGTACAGGACCACTGCTTAAAAGTAGCTAGGCCATGGCCCCCCAGCCTATGGAACATTGGGCAACTGCAAAATCTTCCCCACCCCCTCCTAACTGGTGTTTATGGGGCCCTAATTTTATATCCATTATGCAACTTGCTGCTGTATGATTAGGGAATCGATGCCACCTGGTGGCCGCCACCAGGCCCTGCAGTCAGAAGGGCTTGGAAATCATCAGTGGACTCTGAAATACAAAAAGCACGTTCCAAAATCCTGCTGCCTGGTTTCTGCCAATGTTGTGTGTGCATCTCTGGACCACAGCGGCACCTTCTCTGGTAGAAAGATCAGAGAATTAATTCCCCTCAGGTGGAATTTAGGAATGCTGGCCTGTTTGTTCAGTGAATTTAATTGGTGCGTAGGCATCGTGCTGTCTGTCAGCACCAGGAGGTCAAATTTCACGCTCAAATCTACATGAATGTATGTGTTTTTTGTTTGTTTTTTTTTAGAAACAGCAATAATCCAGCACTCCT